CGGGATTTGATCGACCTTGGAATTGTATGTTTCCACTTTTTGTTGTTGGCCTTAATTTTATTCTCAATTGATTCCACCTGTTTCTCAATGCTTCAAGTAATTTCATTATCTCGGGATTGACCTCGGACTCAGCTTTACCCGATCTCTCGGTGGTTTGTTCGTTTCTTCGGGTGTTCTCCTAGGGTCGTTCTGGCTCGACCCTGTTAGGGGCTTGGCCTTGATTTTGTAGTTGCATTATCACTGCATGTTGAGCCTGCAAATTTTGAATATCAGCTGCAGGCTTACCGCATCACCTTCGTCTTCAGGTGTTTCTCTAACTGTTGGTCGGGATCCTCCACGAACGCTGTTTTCAGGGTCACTTAGCAGGTTGACGTCGATAGCCACCTATGAGTTGATATCGATCATATTGGCGACTGGGAATCCGTTGGGATCAACGGGGGCACCTCATTGCTAGGTACCAGTAGTTGTTTTAGCCATGATGGCCAGACTTAGCCTCAACGTTCAAGTATGCAGACTGAGAATTTGACATTTCTAAGCTGACATGAAATTATGACTTTAAGGAAAAAACGTAAAATAGAGAGTTTTATGTAGATTTTTATCAAACCATCACTATCATCTTTAGCCCCATGGTGGGCGCCAAACTATTTTGTTACAACCCATATCCACATGTGTTAGTTTATGCCATATATTAGTTAACATAAATCCAAGAAGGAATTATCTTTGAGATGATAAGAAGTCAATCTTATTGGTCTTAAGTGATACAAGAGTTTAAGGGTGATTAACAAGTATTAGAAGTTAAATGAATCAAGGATGTTGTAACTCGTATTTTCAGGTAAATCTAGCGGTGCTTAATACAATAAAAAGGTCATGTATTAAGGTATTTTAATCATATAATATACGTATCATAAGTCTTGAAGTCAAACGAGTTATAAAACAAAAGTCGACAAAAGTTGTCGCAACTTAGGTTCATAATTTTACTTAAACATTAGGTCAAATGTTTCTAATCTTTTCTCCTAATTTACAAGGAATTACGGGGTTATCTACCAACCAAATTAATGATCTATGAGTCTAGTTTCCAAATCATTAAACCGTTCATAGATACGATCTCGGAGTAGAGAGATATTCGCATTTTCGCGAGACAGCGCCAAGCACCTCACTATGGGGCCCACTAAGGCGGTTTAAGATATTTGGACCTATATAGGATGCCT